CCTCATCTGGTGAGATCGACCAACGAATCTCTTCTTCATGCACTTTCATACGAAATAAAGGTCCCTCTAATAATATTCATCTGCCTGGGAAGTCCTGGTCCCGCAATACGTGAAACTGTAGAATTCAAAGAGGCTTTCTTGATTTGTCTAAGGCACAAGATACAGTTCGAAATGATGGACTGAACTGTAGATCCCCACACATTTTATTGAAACTGAAAGTCGATTTTTCATTAGTCTACTCATTGTTTCCTGCATAAAGACTATATACTATTATCAGTTACTATGACAAAAGAGAGGCAAATTGAGTCATATAGTTATTCCTGCATATGGTTGCAACAAATAGTTAAGCAATTGTGGCACCTAAACTCGAGATTTTTTGTTAGTAACACAGAATTGCTGGTTTCCGTATCGAAAACGAATCGAGATGGGATTGAGTGTATAAATACAGCATTTTATTCATTTTATTGTGGAAAAAATTAGTGTTCTGTTAAAGGAGGTGAAAATTTTTTGGGGAATTTATAAATAAAATAGTATTTTGAGGTGAATAGCAGAAATATACGTTTAACTATCTGTACGTAAGGCTCCATGACGTGTTTAGACACGAGAGGAGAAACTTGTTTTGCTTGTCGTCTAATCAACTTTGACTTGGGTAGGAAACCTGTTTGTCTCATCATTCACAAGCGCAAGGATCGAGTATCGCCGATCGTGCTGATGAGACGGGATTGCACCCGAGTCAGGCGACGAAAACAGTCTTTCGAGACACGTGACAAAGTGAGACTCAGTTCACTGCAGCATGGAACGACTGACCATCCATCCTTTGAGAAACCAGTCGAAACTGGCATATTTTCATCTTGTCTCTCTCCTTCAGAAAGAGGAGAGTCCGGTCAGTTTGTGCCGAAATTCGCATCGTGTGAATGTGACTCCGCCAAAGATGCGTTGGTCACTCTAGCTAACGGTAATGGTGGAATGCTGTTGCTATGCGATATCTGTATGCTACTCTGATTTTTTGGTTGATGCACTCCACGAGAAACAGGTTTATTCCGTTTCTGGTAGAGCTTTTGATAAACACACTTAGTACTCAAGCTGCTTTAATCAAAAACTATACTTACAGAAAAATGTGAATATCAATCTTTCATCCCCTCATGTGATTTAGGGTAATTTCGTAGCCTAATCAAACGGAATACAAAAACGGTTCTTGCTAAAATATCACAAATATTCGCGACAACGACAAAAAAATGAATACTTCTTCTCCTTTTCATGTTGATCTAAGTTAGTACATATTGACATACATATACATAAATAAATAAATATATGCATATAATTGAGAACAAATTTTGGGAAAGCAAGGCTATGTGAAATTCTTCTTCTGTCAGTCTTTCATCGCCTTAAATGAAATTAGTGAATACATCTCATACTACTGATTTACTGGTAGTCACGAAAACAATACTTAATTCGAAAAATACTTGATACGACTTCTGCAAAACACAGGGTAAGAGAGGCTATGAAAGCTAGTAGATTTTGGTATAGGGTACGAGTATGTGAATGTCAATGTATATATTAATACATATTAATTTCCATAGCCTCTTTTGTCACATGTTTGCAAGTATCTTATATTTAAATTAACCTGCCTGGGAAAGGAGGCACGAAAACAAAGTGAGAATATGAAAAAAGGCCTTTGGTTGCCGCTACCGGACAATTTATTCCTCTTTTTCATCGGGGCCTAATTTCAGCAAATCTACTCCTTCAATAGAGTGATTTTTTCCAAAAGCCTTGCATTCGTAAGGAACAGTGAATCATAAATAGCAAATGTAATGATGACCTGCGAGTTGAAATAGCATACACAATGCAATCAACAAATACTGGTCTCTGTTAGAATCTCCGCTCAATCGAATGCCATTATAAATCGCAAAATCATCTTTAATTGACATAATATTAAAATTTTATAATTATATTGTAAACTTACTATTACATGAAACTCTTTATCAACAACACTTTCATACGAACTTAAAGTCACCCCGACAAGTACATCTCAGTGGCCTGATTACAAACTCTGTCGAAAAGACAAGCTCATTTGATTAGATTTTTGAGTACTGGCGAGACAGCTTTCCATTTTGGACTCATTTGACTATCAATTTTGGTTGGTGTCAGCCGTGCGTAGGTTTTGAGTCGATCAGCGCCTTTTAAATAAAGCAATAGTAAAAGATTGGTAGCTAAGTTTTCTCAAGTTTTCTTAAGTTTTCTCAGTCTTGCTACCAAAACTGGGATGATCATCTCCGTTCCCACCAGCAGCCCCGGTGGGAATCGAACCTGGGTGATACATGTTGAAATTATGCGCTGTACTAACCGGATTCGAGTCACGTTCGGGGTACTGTAGATACACAGGCGAGGTCAAAACTTCAATTTAGTCTAACCTGGACGATACTACTTATTGGATAGAAAGGATGAAGAAAGTTTACTTAAAACTTGAGGCGATTGCGCAAAAATGTAGCATCATTCTAATCCTTTATCATCTTACATCATCTATGGCGTCTAGAACGCTTATTTAAGCGAGACTGATAGCATCGAAACCTACTTTTTATGAACATAAGCCTGTCTGTAGAGCAACAACTAACCGAGGCAGTTTGACAAGAACCAAAATGGGCAACGAACTTAATCTAAACTGAAAATCTGCCTAGCTTGTATATTTCTGTATTAGATGAGTACATCCTATTTCGTTTTGGGTGAATTTTCCCAAAGTTTTGTATCGAATTTCGCATGGTATTGCTTTCCAAAAGAATGCTTTCCATCCAGAGTGGACTGCAAACCAGTCCCCTTATCACCCTAAAAATATAATCTACCGGTAGTCTAAAAAGCCTGCCCATACGCAAAAAATCGT